TTCTTTGACCTGACCTGAAGAAATATCCATTCTTTCCCCCTTATTTCCTTCAGAATGGTCTTGTGGTAAAAATCTGTCCTCCCTGTACGGCCCAGCAGGGGGGAAAATGCTCTAGATCAGTGGTTCTTAACCTTCTTGAAAGAATCGCCCCCTTGAGCCAAAGAAGAAGTTGTCATCGCCCCCTCCCCCAACATAACCTCTCAATCGCAACATAGAAATAATTCTTCAATTTATGCAAACACTTTTTTTGTTTTCTTTAAAATTGTCATCAGGACATACCGATGCAAATAATTTATTTCCAGTCTTTTTCCCATATCTCCCATATTCTGGCCAATGGCGTGCCACTGTGTGGGTAGAGGCTGCTGCGCAACGCACATGAAGATAAGCGATGCGTATTCACATATGTATGACATTCTGTACTGATGCTAGCTGGAGGAACATTTGAAAACACAATTCAATCCACTAATAGCGAGCAATCTGATGTGTTCGTACGACAGATACACAGCAATTCACTGAACGAAAAAGTCTCAAAAGTGTCCCCAAAACTTCTTGCTCCATCCCCTCCATATCGCCCCCTTTTCGTTCCTTCGCCCCTGTGTCACCCCTTTTCGTTCCATCGCCCCCCTGAAAAATGAAATCGCCCCCTGGGGAGCAATATCGCCCAGGTTAAGAACCGCTGCTCTAGATGCCCATCCCAAGAGAAATTTTTGGATTAGAAACCAGAGAAGGAGAGTTTAGGGTCCTTCCGGAAGAGCTTGTGCCCTGAGCCAAATACGACCCTCCCCTTATTTCCTTCAGAAAAAAATGGTAAAGATGCTACTCTCTTGGACGACATATTGGCAGGAAGTTCTTTTATCTAGTAATGGTAGCATTCTTTTTATTAATAAGAGCCAACAGCTCTGTTTTTAGTGAGTTGTTCTATTTCAATTTTATGAATATTTGAAAAATCTTTATGTAGTGCAAACCACCTAGAGCCCTATGAGTAAACAGCATACAAATATTTATGGAAGAAAAGAAAATGTTCCAGAAGGAAGTCTACCCTCAATTACTGTTTCCAGAATCTTGATGATTTCTAAGCTTGGGAATTCCCCCCCCCCCCCAGTTTTTGTACTTGGTTTTCAGAAGAAAACAGATGTGATTTGGGATAAATGTTAAGTCAGTAAACATTGGTAGACTGTTGTGTATTTGTCACATAGTTAATCTAATTTGTTTATTTTTAATCTCTTTTTTTCACAAACAGCTATTCAAAGACTTTGAAAGGTTTTTATTTTTCCAAAGCTCTTAGGGTGGTTTGTAGTGGCAATAAAAAGTGTGACTTGAGGAATTGGTTAATGAATTTCATTAGGGCACTTATTTTCCCAAGACCAGTAGCTATTATCAGTGACAATGGAACTTCTAGTCTGAGAACTTCATGTCTTTTGGTTTCCCAGTCAGCTGAGGAATGACACTAGTAAGCAGTTTTGATTTCTCATCTTCCTGATCGTTTTTTTTTTTTTTAGAGAAAGGTTTGATTAGAAAGGGCAGATACGATATTGTTGCCATTACGGAAACATGGTGGGATGAAACTCACACATGGAACACACAGCTAGAGGGATTTAAATTATTTAAAAGAAACAGACCAAATAAAAGAGGAGGTGGAGTTGCTCTCTATATAAGAAATAACTACATCTCCACAGAAATAAAGTACAACAATGATAAAACTGTCTTGAATGCATTTGGGTCAATATAAAAGGGGGGGGGAATGATATTGCCATAGGTGTATACTACAGACCACCCAACCAACAGAGGAATAGGATGAACTTGTTGCTAGTCATCTACTAGGATGTAGAGCACATCACAATAGTTAATGGGGAGACTTTAACTCCCTGACATCAACTGGGAGACAAACTCCGCACCAAGTGGAAGATCAAACAGTTTCCTGGCAAACCTAGCAGACAACTTTGTCTCCCAAAAAGTAGAGAAGGGAACTAGGGGATTAGCCATCTTGGATCTAATTCTCACTAACAGAGATGAAATGATAGACGGTGTTGAAGCCATAGGAACCCTGGGAGGAAGTGATCATGCAATATTAGAATTCAACATTATAGAAGCACAACCAATAGAACACAGTCCAACTAGAGTCTTGGACTTCAAGAGAGCTAATTTCAATAAACTTAGAGAGGGCTTGGGAAGGATTCCATGGATGAGAATCCTCAAGGGGAAAACAACTCAAGAAGCTTGGGAATTTTTGAAAAATGAGATAATAAAAGCACAGTCTAGCACAATACCAACAAAGAGGAAAAATAACAGCTCTCAAAAGAAACCAGCATGGCTGCTAAGAACTCTCTTCAAATTGAAGATAAACGGACAAGTAAGAAGTGGAAAGAGGGGAACATAACTAAGTCAGATATCAGCCAACATAGCCCGCCGCAAAGATGAAGTGAAGAAAGCCAGGCTCAAATGACTGAGGCTTGCGACCAAAGCAAAATAACAAAAAAAGCTTCTTTCAAACATGTAAAAAACACGAAAAACGTGACGTAAATGATTGGTCCGTTAGTGGGTGAAGTGCAAGAAGGTGACGCACAGGGGAGAACGCAGACACTATTTAACTCATTTTTTGCATCTTCTTTACACAAAGGGAAAAAACAGACCAACCTATCAAAAATAGTGCCACAAAAAACAAAACAGAAACACAAGTTAAGATAGGCAAGAAAATGGTTAGGGAGCACCTGTCCAGCCTAGATGAGTTCAAATCGCCAGGACCAGATGGATTACACCCCAGAGTTCTCAAGGAACTGGCAGATGTGATATCGGAGCCACTGAACTATATTTTTCAAAGATCCTGGAACACAGGGGAACTACCAGAGGACTGGAAAAGAGCTGATGTAGTTCCCATCCTCAAAAAAGGAAAAAAATGGATCCAGGAAATTACAGACCTATCAGCCTGACCTCAATACCTGGGAAGATCCTGGAAAAGATAATCAAACAACGAATCAACGAACACCTAGAGGCAAACAAAGTCATTACTAAAAGCCAACATGGGTTTGTCAAAAATAGATCATGCCAGACAAATCTTATTGCATTCTTTGACCAAGTGACAAAATTAGTGGATCAGAGGAATGCTGTGGACATAATTTACTTGGACTTCAGTAAGGCATTTGATAAAGTAGATCACAACCTACTACTTGACAAGATAGAAAAATGTGGGGTAGACAGAACCACCACCAGATGGATCCGTAGCTGGCTGACCGGCCGTACTCAGCGAGTGGTCCTCAATGGAACTGCATCTATATGGAGGGACGTGTGTAGTGGGGTGCCCCAGGGCTCTGTTCTGGGCCCAGTACTCTTCAACATCTTCATCAACGATTTGGATGAAGGGATAGATGGGGAACTCATCAAATTTGCAGATGACACCAAGCTGGCAGGAATAGCCAACACTCCAGAAGACAGGCTTCAGATACAGAAGGATCTGGACAGACTTGAACACTGGGCACTAACTAACAAAATGAAATTCAATGGTGAAAAAAGCAAGGTTCTACATTTAGGCAAGAAAAACCAAATGCACAAGTACAGCATAGGTGGCACCATGCTCAATAGTAGTAACTGTGAGAGGGACCTCGGAGTCCTAGTAGACAATCACCTAAATATGAGCCAGCAGTGTGCGCAGCTGCCAAAAAGGCCAACACAGTGCTAGCTGCATTAACAGAGGGATAGAATCAAGATCACGTGAAGTATTAATACCACTCTTCAATGCCTTGGTAAGGCCACACTTGGAATACTGCATCCAGTTTTGGTCACCACGATGTAAAAAAGATGTTGAGACTCTAGAAAGAGTACAGAGAAGAGCAACAAAGATGATTAGGGGACTGGAGGCTAAAACATATAAGGAACGGTTGCTAGAATTGGGTATGTCTAGTTTAACGAAGAGAAGGACAGGGGGGACATGATAGCAGTATTCCAATATCTCAGGGGCTGCCATAAAGAAGAGGGAATTAAGCTATTTTCCAAAGCACCTGAAGGCAGGACAAGAAGCAACGGGTGGAAACTCATCAATGAGAGAAGCAACCTAGAACTAAGGAGAACCTTCCTGACAGTGAGAACAATTAATCAGTGGAACAGCTTGCCTCCAGAAGCAGTAATGCTCCAACACTGGAAGTTTTTAAGAAGAGACTGGACAGCCATTTGTCCGAAATGGTGTAGGGTTTCCTGCCCGAGCAGGGGGTTGGACTAGATGACCTCCAAGGTCCCTTCCAACTTTACTACTATTACTAGATACATTTATTTGTCTCAAGGGCAACAATCTTGTGATAGCTATATCGGACCTTTAGTCCTGCTTCTAACTGCAACCTAGCTCTAGAGGTTCTGAATTAGTATTTTTCTTGAAGATGTGTGAACTTCAACTCCCAGAATTTCCCAGCCAGCTTACTTAAAGAAACACTGCTCCAAACTTGGAGAAAAAAAGAACAATACATTTTCCCTGAATTTGTCATTGCAGCCCCTGAAAACAGCAGGACCACTGACCTCTCTTTGAACTCGCATCAAGTGCATAGAAAATGAATATATGAATATAGTTCCTGGACTGCTCAGGAGACACAGGTTGAGGGACTTGGGAGCTGTATTCCTTTTCATATTTTCAAAACAGCTTGCCCTTTCACTTTGCTCCTGTGCTTGTCTTGCAGCCATGAATTTCTTCATTGATGCAGCTTGAGATGCTATGCTCAATATATTGTGAAAATGTGAGAGACTTTCTTTAGTTAGCTGTCTACAGCTAATTATGTGTTCTGCCAACAACTAATTGATGGTTACCAGGATCCATTTGCAGTACAAATAGAACTTAGGAAATCTTTCTAGTTTCTTCTTCTGTATTAAGATACCTGTAACTCCCTAAGATAGCATCTGCAGAATTTCATAGTTAATTAATTTGTTAAAAGTATGATTTAAAACCTAATCAAAATAGCTATTGCTGTTTAGTACTACTTTCTGGATTTTTAAAACTCTTTTTCCATCATTTTGTTTCACAGTCTTGCCTTTAACGGCATCACTACAGAAGGAGGTAAAAGCCTTGCAGAAGCGATGAAACACAACAATGGTGTAAATATATTTTGGTAAGGAACTTGGAGGAGATGGGGATAAACTTTACAGAGTCTTGAACATCCTCCTTTTGCAAAAATGGAGGAAGAAATCTGCTTCACAGCATCCTAACCTTCTGGGGAGGGAGGTTAAAAATGTCTTTCTGGCATGTTTGATTTCAGAAACAACCAGAAAAGCTAAGGTCCCATTAAGCTGGATTGATGTATAAGCTTACTCTGAACAACCTATGAAACTTTGGCAGTTTGAGAAGGGGATAGCTTGAAAGATAGCGAGAGATCATGTGTAAACCTGCCTCGATTATGTGTTAACCTGGACATCTTGATAATTTCAAGCTTGGAAAGGCCATGCCCCAGATGGTCACTATCTCTGTCCATCTACACAAAGTAAAACAGGTGACCTGAAACTGTACCCCAACTGATGCAATTCCAGTTGCCAGTATGATTTGGAACCCTACTTTATTTGGCATCCAAATCACATAGAAGACTGCAATTATGCTTATTTTTGGATTAAGCAATATCTAAGCTTTGCTGACATCTGCTTACTGGTTGTTATCAGAAAAAAAAGACACAATTCATTCTAACAGTTGTACTGACTGTATCCCTAAAGCATGTTTTAAAGCTGCTATCAAAAGGAGGCATTCATGTGGAAAGAGTAAACTGCCCAATTTATTTTCGCTGTCAACAAAGAAGGAGAGGAAAGGGGAACTGTGGGCCAAAGCATCATAGGGAGATGAGATCACAACAGTACCCAAGTTCTGGGGACATTAGCTAGGAATGTTGGCCAATCTAAAAGACAAATCACAAGAGGAAAAAGAAGAGGAAAACAAAGATACGCAGGCCATATTCTTATAGTTTTATAGACCCTATTACTTTTGTTATTATAATCTCTTGAGAATGGAAGCAGGGCTACTTGGATGATAACATCTATGAGCAATTGGGATAGAAGATTTGAAACAGAAAGTCTCTCCTATTATATAGGCTTTTATGTAGTTCAATACAGTCCATTTGTTTTGTATTTATTAGACTTTTAAACCATGCCTTTATTATTTTTACACATAACTCAAGGCAGTGAACATATACATAATATCCCTCCTCCTATTTTTTCCACAACAACCACCTGGGTGAGTTGGGCTGAGAAAGAGTCACTGGCCCCAAATCATCCTTTCAGATGGCTTTCATGCCTGAGGCAGGTCTAGAACTCATGGTCTTCTGGTTTGTAGGTCAACACCTTAATCCCTATCCCAAAGTGGCCATGAAATAGGAGTTTCTGATTTCAGACCTTCTGTTGTAGCACGCAGTACAGGCACTCTAAATTAGAATTGCATGTTAATGTGGTCGTTTGGAAGGGATAAGCTAAGGTTTCCCAGGTTGAAGAGAGTAGAAGAGTGGGTACTGAAAGAGTTGAGCCTGTATTCCCAGATCTTGTAATAAAAAAACCTTTCTTCACAAACCTGGAATCAAGAAGAGAAAAAATATCATTGTACTAAAAAAGAGGAAGAAACTGGCAGCTGAGAAAGAAACTGTACTTACTCAGGCTTGCCAAAACAAGGAAATATGCCTGAAGTAAAAGTTGGTGGCAGCTTTAAAAATGACAATAAAGGAATTAGGGCTCTTTCCTTTAAAAAAAAAAAATCCATTCCTAGTGACAAGGAACTTGGGACAGAAAAAAGCATCCTCTCCAAAAAATGTCATTGAAGCAGTTAGTATAAAATATCTTAAAACAATTGATTCTTTTTATTATGCCAAATGATTTCAGTTGTGCACTCAGACTGAAAGAGAACAATTTCCGATTGCTAGATGTTTTTTTATTTCACTCAGATCAGTCCTGAGCCAATACAATCAACAGCAAACTGAGGGAGTTACGATACATAAGATTTTCTTGCTTGCTTCTATATGAGACATGTTAACTTTTGTTGATGGGTTGCAGAAACAATCTGATGTATTATCTTCTACTATATCATACTGTACTGTACTATCTTCTTGAGATGCTACAGTATATATATTGGAAGATTATAGTTGGTGTTGGATTATAGTATCGTGGTAGGATTGGAATTCTTGAAGTCGGAGTTGTCTGAGATTATTGGTAGTTATACTCTGCCCTGTTTGGAAAGGATGAGGTTGGCACATTAGTTCTGCTTATGATACACTTCTCATCTGGGCAGCAGAAGTATGAAACACTTAAGTCTGATATGCTTAGTAAATAAATAAAAACCAGACCATTCTGCTCTTTTATTCTGCTGGAGTTCTAACAATGAATTGCTGATTGTGACCAGTACAATAAACAAAAGTTGTCTCTAGAACAGCCAGTCCTGTCACTACCAAAATGGGCAGATGGCTTTTAAAGATATCCTAAATGGTGCCCAGAATCTGGTGCAAAACTCTAGGGAACAATGGCTACAGCACTTGAACAATATGAACAAGAAGTTACTAGAGGTGAGACAGAATATATTTTTCCTTGGTGCAGCTACAGTCATTAGGAACTGTAAGTAGGTACGTAGATACTGTTCCTGATTCATCTGAATAATGTGTCAATAATAACATATTGAGGGTACATCAGAAATGAAAGCAAGAACAGAATCATGAGGAGAGGCAGAAGAGAGTGACCTGTTATAGGTCAGGATGGTCAACTGCTAGAACTTCAAGGGAGCATTGTTTTTGAAGTGAAAATATAGTGCAGTTTTTTTTTTTTGTTACTAGTCTTATATGTCCTCAGTATTCACATCCCATGAATAATTGAAGGTGATCCCTGCATTTAGATATTTTCTTTCTTTTTTCTGATCTATGGGCAGAAATAGGATCATGGCTTAGGAAAGGTAATAAGTCCCTGAGTTATGCTGTATTTGTAATGCTTTTCTGGAATGACTGGAAAAAAATATTTTCTTTGAAATGCCACATCAGATCATTGGAATATATCTACAGGGTAATTGAGGGAAAGCTAACTGGACTTGCTGATGTTTACTGGAAATTCTTAGACCCCTTCATTCCCATTTTTACCCCAGGCATTTTCCAAATCTTCTTTGAGTGATTTACATAGTTGTGTATAATAACAGTGACAAAAACAAAAAGTTTTCAGGACACATAGAAATGACTTTGAATGAGGGAGTAAGTTGGTTCTCTGGTCTGAGTGACCTCTTACTTTCTCAACCAAGCAGTGAACAAAATGAAACTGTGTCATCTAGTTATGCTTTCAAAGGCAGTTATACACAATAGAAATTGCATAGTGCTTGGCAGACAGACAGATTGGACTGAAAAGAGTTTTCTTTAAATCCATTTTGGCTTGCCAGGATTTTTGATAATATGGTATCAAAATTAGCAACTAAGACAAGAATGACAATGTTTTTAACTGCTCAACTATCATTCATTCACTTGACTGAAACCCTTTTGTTTTGTATTCTTGACTAGGCTAACAAAAAATGAGTTGGATGATGAAGCAGCTGAGAGTTTTGCTGAAATGGTAAAGGTTAACAAGAGATTGGGCCATCTGTGGTGAGTTACGCTGGTTTATGAAGAACGCATTTTTAGTCATGGCTGGGGGCAGTAAACCATATTTTAAGCACTAATAATAATTCTGTAGGAAGATCCATAATTGGTTATTTAAAGTATTTTGACTGAAAGATCCATTTAATGTTATATATTTTTGTATTTATTATTTGCAGTCCACGCTATCCCAGTGGATATCAGGACATGTTACAAATGAGAAAATCAAGAAAAACCAACATATGACAAACACAGAAAAACAACACCGAACAGTAATATCCTCATTACTGAAGCAAAATAGGGAAGACCATTTGATGGTCTTTAAAACTGTTAGTTGTTAACACAGGTGTTAAGTAACCTTTCTGGATGCATACCCCATTTGGAATTTCAGAAGCATGTCACAAAATGGCCCCTTCAGAGAAGCATACATGTTCACAAAATGCACATGGGCAATCTCCAAGCACTTTCCTAGCAAAATAGGTGAGCTGGCTCTCCATCCTTATCTCTAATGACAGACCTCAACCAGTGGGAAGGGAGGCAGGGGCGAGTAGCAAAAATGATCACAAATCACATTCTATCCCTTACATGCTTTTTGTACATATGTACAGATAGGTGAGGCTTATGACATAATGCTTCATCATTTTGGCATCATTATGGTGACAAAGAGGTGCTGGGGCTTCTAGGCTTCTCACCATCCCAGCTCATTTGGTCTTCCTTCAGGGTAGATGAGCACATTACCAGCATGAGAAGCATTCTTATAAATAGGACACTATAAGCTGCCCTTTGCTTTGAAGTGTGACAGCTTCCTATTTATCCATCTGTCTATATTTAAATTAAAATCAGGTGGAGCAGAGAGCTGAGCCTGGCAGGCACCAGCTTGCCTATCTCTGCACTCGTAAGATACCAAGTTTAGATAATCAACTGAAATGGTGGCTAGACATGTTGACATCATCTTCTTAAAAGCCAGGGATAAATTAGTGTTACCACTTTACATATGATTACATTATCAAAGGAGTAATTCTTCTTATGACTATTGTTAACTAATAGTTTGGAAGTCTGATGCCAGAGAGGAACAGCCAATGGTGGGATTCAGCCAGTTCGCACCACTTCAGCAGAACCAGTAGCTAGTTTTTTGTTGGCCAGGCCTAGAATGGACTTCCGGAAGCAGCATCCACACAGAGAACCGGTTGTTCATAAATTTAAATCCTACCACTGGGAGCAGCCCATAGACTTGAAATATTGTAGACCTTGAATCTGTCTCTCATCAATTCTTTTCTTCATCCAAGTTTCTGTCTGTCCCATTTTATACTATTGAGTTTCTGTCTCATACTTTCTCAGGACTTAATAATCTTTTTGTAAACCCCACCCCCCCTTTAACTGCTGGCTCACTCTGTCCCTACCCCAAAGACCAGCTCTACACTCCTTCACACATTTAACTCTGAAAGAAATCATATGAAAAGACGAAGGGATGACGAGGCAAAAAAAAAAAAACATTCTCCAAACTATACACCAGTTCTAAAAGTTTAATTCTAGTTCTTAAGTAATGTCCAGTTCAAGAAGGGGGAGAGCCTGATTGAGTTGATTTCTCAGCAGACTGGAGCTATTGCATTGCTTCCTCTTTATTCTCTTCTTTTCTCCTGCCTGATAAAATGGCTGTTGTTCTGCAGGCTGATGTACCTTTGGGCTCTGAGCTAGGTGACTCAAACCATTAGGTGTTTCTATGAATCAAACTGGCCACCAGGGTTAATAAATTTCAGTAACTTAGATGTTATTTCTTCTTCTTCACATCTGTCCCTTTGCTTGTTTTTACATTTCTGGTCTGCTTTTTAATTCAACTCAATCCTCAAGACCGTTTACAAAAACAAGAAGCAGAACAAAAGACAAACACCAGGCAAACAAGCTCCAGTAAAAACAGTCATTAAAAAGATTTGTACAAGGCCATAAACAATAATGGGGGGGAGGCTGCCCACTCATCATTTGTTTGTTATGCCTTAAGTCAGCAACTCTGTGACTTTCTCACCAGTATGACCAGAGGCAGGACAGGAAAAGATAAAACAGAATTTCTGGGTTCAGTTGGTCTGCTGGACTTATGACTGAATTTAGATTAAGCTACATCTAGGTGTACTGCCTTTCTGCCAATGCACTCAATCAAGATGGTTCACCTCTTAAGGGATAAGGATAAGTAAAAGGATAAGTAAAAAGAAAGATGAAGAAAACAAAGAACAAAGTGGACTCAATGTAGAAATATTTTGTAGTGTTATATGGCATATCTGCATATCTATATGTGGCCAGGGCAACCTCCTCATTTGGCCATTAAATCTGGAACCTGCTAGGGAAAAACTACATGGCAAAGCTCTACACAAGATGCCAGGGACTTCATGTAATTGGAAAATGTGGACCTCAAGGGGAAGAGCCAGGGAACAATGGGTCTCAGTCTAGCCAATGAAAAAAAAAAACTTTGGGAGGTTCCTGCCTATGAAGAAGATCCACCTGCTTCTCAGACTTGTCCCACCCAACAACATTTAAAATATCAAAAATGGGGCGTGATTTTTTTAAGGTGTGTTGTAAGAAAGAATCCCATTGAGAAGATAACCCCTGCAAAGCCCTGTACCTCATGATCATTAATCTGGCCACAAATGGAGGATGAGCATGGCATACATATGTGACTGGAATAGACAAGGTTCTCAGCTGCTGCAAAGGCAAACTACTTTTAAATTACTTTTAAAACATAGTCCAATTTAACTTTTCTTCAAGATCATCTTTCATAGGCTTCTGACAGAGTAGATGGTTAGAATCATATTTAATGATTTATTTAATTTAAATCCAACACATCTAGAAAGCACATGGATTATTAAAGCTGGGACAGAACCTAAACAGGAAGGATTTTGTCTCTGCTAGAAAAGATGCTCCAGTTTATTGTATCCTAACCAACTTTATAAAGCTATGCAAACAGTTCATAAAGGCAACTAGGTTACTGTTCAGAAAATATACTCTAAAGATTGTTTGGCACCCAAGAATTTCTTGTTTGCTTGGACTTGCTTGTCCCACTTTTTATTTCTTTGTGTCTGAAAAGCAGCATTTACCCAATGATGCTCCAAGATCAACACTATTGAGCTGTGTGTGTTCATATGCATACAGATAGTCCTTGACTTACAACCAGTCCTTTAACAATTGTTTGAAGTTAAGATTGTTTGGAAAGGTGTGTTTTATTTTCAGTGCTAATACATCATCCATTTGCTTTTAACTGGTTGCTTAAAGCCCCACAATCATGCAATTGCCATCTGTAATTTCTTTGCCAGCTTTCCCAGAAACTGTTGTAGCCAGCTAAAGAATTTCCCCTTGCTGCACGGGAGTGGTGGTGAGGTGAGGTCCTTCATCAGGCTGCAGAAACTAAGCTCAGATCCCACAAGTCTGAGTTCCATTCCTGCACTCCACTGCAGAATTCCCTTCTGCACATAGATGAGCTGCCTGCTCTCTTTTGCAGGTACTTCCTTTGCTTTGCCCACTTAATTTGCAGAGTTGCTTAATGACTGCAACTGGGAGAGGCAGGATCATAATTGTTGAGAAAAGCAGTCATGTGGGCATCTCACTTAACCACTTCACTCAATAAGCCAAGATTCTTGTTCCAATTATAGTTGTAAATCAAGGATTACCTGTATATATAAAATTCTAAGCATCGTTGTCTAACCAAGCTAAGAAACTGGCTATCACAGTTTCTTTTCCCTCCAGTAACAAGATCACAATTAGCTTAGCAGAATCTCTGCAATCAAATCACTTAGCAAAGCAGGCTAGTTGTCAACCATTATGTTCCAATGATTTTTTCCAATGACTATAGAAGATGTTTGCCTATATCAGGTTAGGATTTAGCCTGGTGTCCTTCAAGGATTTCATCTTTGCTGATCAGATAAGAAGAATTATGCTTCGCTGTTTTTTCCTGGCACATACAAATGGGGGGGGGGTCATCTATTTCTAGTGAGTGCTGTTATCCTGACTCAGAGTTCAAAATAGGTGCATTGTGGGTCCTGGTCATTCAACTCATAGCCCTGAAAATCAGTCTGGGAGAAGATACATTTATTCCCACCACATTTTTGTTTTAAAGCCCTTCTTCTCTTACCCTTTCAACTTCTTTTGAGCTTCACATTAGAAAAGATGCAAGTAGCATGTCATGAGATGAGATACAAATGAGGCAAGAAGGGAAAACAGTCTCCTACTACAGTCATCCTAGTTGACAACTCCCCAGAGCAAGTCTTTGGAGACATTCACTGAAGTGGTTCTCAGCCAGCACAATGTGGCCAGGGAATGGCCTTGTCAAGCAGTTGTGTGGAATCAGCCGGCATAATCCCCCCAGACAGCTGCTATGCTCTGCTCACAAAGGAGTTAATAGTACAATTAAGCTCAGTAATCTTGAAAGAAGCTCTTGCACTTTAAATTGAAGAGGCTTGGAGCCTCTTGGCTCCACTTCTATGGCAAGATTGTCTGATTCCAAACAGGCCAGCCATGCAGATGGAAATCAGAAACCATTAATTCCTGGCTAGCCACCAGCTTCATTTGTCAAGAAGAGGGTTGATTTTCTACATCAGACGCACCAAGCTCTGGCCAAGTGCATGACAGGCAGGATGCTACAAAATAGGCATTAGAGTTTGACCAGTGCAAAATATTTGTCTTCAGCCTGTTTTCTCCCTCCCCCCCCCCCAGGCTTATACAGAATCAGATTACAATTCGAGGAGCCAAGAGTTTAGCTGATGCTCTCCAGGACAATACAGCTCTCAAAGAAATCTGGTAAGATCTGACAAATGACACCCACCAGTGAGACTTCAGCTCCATGCCCTTTGTGGAAACCCCCCTAAATTGAATATTTCTCCTCAGAGAAGGAAAGCAAGAGATGTCCTTGGCCTCTTGTTGGAGCAAACTACAACTCCCAGAAACCTTCATCACTGACCCAATTGCTGAAACCTGCCAGGAGTTAATCATTTAACAATATAGGTAGTCCTCAACAATAGTTCATTTAGTGACCTTTCAAAGTTACACTGAAAAAAGTGCCTTATGAGTGTTTTTCATATATATGACTATTGGAGAATCTCCATGGTCACATGATTGAAATTCAGACATTGGCAACCGACTCATATTTATGACAGTTGCAGTGTCTCAGGGTCATGTGATCACTTTTAGCAATCTTATGACAAACAAAGCTAATGGGGAGCCAGATTCATTTTACAGCCATGTTGCTAACTTAACAACTGCAGTGAATCACTTAACAACTGGTCGTAAATGGAACAAAACTCACTTAACTGTCTCTCTTAGCAACAAAAGTCTTGTGCTCAATTGTGGGCTTAAGTCAAGGACTATCTTTTTTGGATCATCATAGGTATAAACTAAACATGCCTGTAGGTGTTTTCTATAGGCAATTGCATAAACTGACTCAGTGCTTTAGCTAAAGTAAATATACCTATGTGATGCCTATACTTATATTTCCTTATCATTTTCATGCTTTATGCAATTGATGATCCTATAGATGTTTAGCCCACAATGAAGGATGCTGACAGCTGTAAGCTATCAGCGTCTGGAAGATTACAGATTTGCTGTCCCTATTGAAGAGAGAGAGGGGGGGAGGGAGGGAGGGAGGGGTTGGCTCCCTAGATGGTGACTTACTGCCTCATCCTTAGTTAATGTTGCTTAATTAATTCCACTCCAATTAACTGTATAAAAATCTGATGGAAGCAGAAGAGATCCAATTTCATTTCTGTTAAATTGAGCTCACCTCACAATAATTAAAGTAAATTCTTGCTGAAGAAGAGGAACCTTAATATTTTCCTTAAAACAGAAGAATTGATCAAGCATTAGTGTCAGTATCCCCCTGGCAATGGCTAAGCATGGGGAATGTATGAAGGGCTGTTAGTGCTCTGAAGTGTTTCCACATCCTCCAATCCAAACAGCCATATCCTAGAAGAAACAAGCAATGGAAAGACCTAGAAAAAAAGCTAAGGAGAAAGAAAAGGAAACACACTTACTGATACAGCTGTAGAAACAGCTTCTTTTTAAAACCATTTTTTCTCTTTTCCATTTTCAACAGCTTAAACGGAAATCCAATAAGTCAAGAGGAGGCCAAAGTCTTTGAAAATGAAAAGAGACTCATTGGCTTCTGAGAAACGTTTTCCAGGTTTGATGGTAATTGTCATGCCAGGACAAGTATAGTTTTGGCAGTGCTCAGAACAATGCCAGCATCCTGAGCAAAATGGACCTAACACTTGAACAAAAAGATGGGCCCTCTGTGCATGTCTTGAGACTGATGTTTGAAAGGAGGATTTTGCCTTAGTAATTAACCTGTTCTATCCTAACAACATTTGTGTTGGGAGCAGGCTTGGAGATACATCAGCAGAAACCTGGTTCAGAAAACAACCCTTAAAGCAGCAGCCCCCAATCTTTCAGGCACTAGGGACCGGTTCTGGGGAGAAAGGCTTTTCCGCGAACTGGAGAGGGTGTGGTTTCATGTGCTGCCTGCATCACTTGTTTGCATGGATCGATTGCTGGTATGCCACGGACTGGTGCTGGTCCATAGACCGGAAGTTGGGGACCCCTGCCTTAAAGGACACTGAAACTGGAGGATCAGAACTGAAGGAACCTGCAACTCATCTGAAAAAAAAAATCTGTCAGCTTGTCTGCCTTACTTCACCCTCCCTCAAATGTTTGCCCCATATTTTTTGTTTTTGCTGGGAGGAAGATATTTGGGTGCTGCGGTTGCTGCAGAATTAAATCCTCCAGTGAATCCCTTTCTCTTAATGAGACATAGCAAATTGCCTTCAGTCAGTCTTGCCTTTGATGCCAACCATGATGCTTTTGACTGGTGCAAAGAAACATGGCAAGATGGATTTCTCCATGACCTATTGCAGGTATTAGTTCTTAAGGCTTAGACCTGATTTTGCACTACCACCCCTTTTAAGGGTATGGGGAGTTTTGAGCAGAATTGCATTTCACAAAGGTTGTGGTGAAGAACAAATTTGTACAAAGTTATCCAAAGTTACTGGCTTCAAAGTCATGGGTAAAGCTTTTTTATGTGACCTAAATGAGATAAACAGTTTAGAAATGTGTTAACTGTACTAAAGGGGGCAGGGTTAGGGTTTGATCATCAGTTAACTTGCCATTTTGAAGCCAGGAACCATCCCTGTGACCATCCCTTGTTTTGCTACTAGCTCACTTGGAACTTCTGCCAATTTACTCCTAGATCTTAGAGAGAAGAGAGGAAATGCATCCAACATGCTCACATAAGTGGTCCTTAATTTATCCAGTGGTTTAGTCAAATGTTTGGGTTAGTGTTACAGAATGTTAAATATATTTTGTTCGTAAAAAATTCTCTGTTTAGTGTTTTGATTATCTGAGGATATTTAATAAGGGCTGAACCTCAGCCTCAATATGTTGGAAGAGAAGTATGATACAAATGAGATATTTGGGGGATGCTCCATTGTGGTATCTTTTTGTTCCAGTATTGATACATTCATTATTAGGGGGTTGGAAATAGAAATAAAAAAATATGAAAGATTGAACAATATAATAGTAATTTTGAATTTAATTTGGTATATGAAGAATTCTGCATTTGTATATGGACTATAGCTAAAAATGTTTTACTTTGATGGAAATATAGTTTATGTTACAGCTTTTTGCATATTCATTTGTTTCTCATGTGGCGGAATGCCACCAATCAAGGTTCAATTTATTGAAAGAATTATTTTCTTTATTAAAATATTTCATTTTCTGCTTCCCTTGATTTGTATTTGTTCTGGTTGCATTGTACATTATCTTTTTTTTCATATATGCAGTACTTTTTAAAAAGATATGTAGAAATGGTTGAATTAGCACCACTGTTTACAAGTCAAAGCAAACAGACTTAGCATACCACAAGTTTTAGTGAACTCATTACCATTGTTACCAAAAGGAAATAGGCATTCTCTTGCAATCTTAAAATAAACGGACACATTGAATGAATTGTTCTTTTGTAAATGACCGATTGGTAATTTGTTACATCACCTTAAAATGTGATTCTCCCCCCCCCCCATGGCACCATATATTGGAAATTAATTCAAAGCTTTCGTGGGGGGAAATGTAGAGATTGTGATTTAAGGCCAGCGTATAGCAGAAGCGTATAGAGGCTTTGGTTATATTAGTCATGATGACCGCAGCTGGTTCAATGAAAAAGTGTACAAAAGAGATGGTTTGCATCCATCAGAGAAAGAGACTGAGTTACTTGGCAATAAATTCATAGATTTTCTGGAGAAATATTTAAACTAAACAATGGGGACAGTGAATTAATTGATACAGAACATCCCTGTCCCCGGCAGTCTAAAAATTATAGGGTTATCAGTGCATGTAACAGAGATGTGTATGTGGACAAGAATATCAACCTTGCTGTCAAGCAAAATCAAGCTTTTAATAGCGAGTGACACACAAAGTACACTAATCAAGCAGGTGATAAGAAAATAGGGGAACTCAGGCACCACACAGTTTATGTAGAAAGTAAACACAGGATCAGTCTTAAAGGACTCAAATGTCTATACACCAATGCACAGAATATGAACAGTAAACAGGGTGAACTAGAAATTCAGGTTAATAAGGGCAGATATGATATTGTTGCCATTATGGAAATATGGTGGGATAAAACCCACAAATGGAACACACAGCTAGAGGGATTTAAATTATTTAAAAGAAACAGACCAAATAAAAGAGGAGGTGGAGTTGCTCTCTATATAAGAAATAACTACATCTCTACAGAAATAGAGCACAACAATGATGAAAACTGTCTTGAATGCATTTGGGTCAATATAAAAGGGGAAAAAATGACATTGCCATAGGTGTATACTATAGGCTACCTAACCAAATAGAGATAATAGATGAACTTTTTGCTAGTCATTTAACTAAAGTATGTAGGAAGCACATCACAATAGTATTGGGGGACTTTAATTACCCTGACATCAACTGGGAGACAAACTCTACCAAATGGAAGATCAAACAGATTCCTGACAAACCTAGCAGACAACTTTGTCTCCCAAAAAGTAGAGAAGGGAACTAGGGGATCAGCCATATTGGACTTCTCACTAACAGAGAGGAAATGATAGAAGGTATTGAAATTGCAGGAACCTTGGGGGGAGTGATCATGCAATATTGGAATTCAACATTATGCAAGACACAAGCAATAGAACACAGTCAAACTAGAGTCTTGGACTTTAAGAGAGTTAATTTCAACAAACTTAGAGCTTGGGGAAGATTCCATGGATGAGAATCCTCAAGGGGAAAACAATTCAAGAAGCTTGGGAAATTTTGAAAGGTGAGATTATAAAAGCCCAGTCTAGCACAATACAAACAAAAATAATAGCTCTCAAAAGAAACCCGCATGGCTGCATAAAGAACTCTGATAATTGAAGGACAAAAAGGAGAAGTATAAAAAGTGGAAAAAAGGGCACATAACTAAGGCAGAATATCAGCAAATAGCCCGAGCCTGCAAAGAAGAAGTGAAGAAAACTAAGGCTCAAAATGAACTAAGGCTTGCAACAAAAATCAAAAATAACAAAAAAAGTTTCTTTCAACCTGTAAAAAGCAAGAAAAAAGTTAAGGAAATGATTGGTCCACTAGCGGGAGAAAGTGTCAAGGAGGCAACAAGCAACAGGGAGAAACAGAACTACTCATTTTTTTCATCTGTATTTACACAAAAGGAAAAAACAGTCCAACCTATCAAAAACAGTGCTGTAAAAAACAGATTAGAAACACAAGTTAAGATAGGCAAGAAAATGGTAAGTGAGCATCTGTCCACCCTAGATGAGTTCAAATCACCAGGACCAGATGGACTACACCCCAAGGTTCTCAAGGAACTGGCAGATGTGATCTCAGAACTACTGAACTATATTTTTCAAAGATTCTGGAGCACTGGGGAATTACCAGAGGACTGGAAAAGACTTGGTGTAGTTTCCATCTTCAAAAAAGGGAAAAAAATGTATTCAGGAAACTACAGACCTATCAGCCTGACCTCAATACTTGGGAAGATTCTGGAAAAGATAATCAAGCAACAAATCAGAGAACACCTAGAGGCAAACAAAGTCATAACCAGAACCCAACATGGGTTTGTCAAAAGCAGATCATGCCAGGGGTGTTAAAATGGACATGGTGTCTTATACACAGTTACTTAGATGGGATGGACAAAATTGGCAGTTAAAACTACTGGAAGAGTTAGTACATGAAAACATTATTTATTCTTGGTTTCAATATAGGCAATTAGTAGATAGATGGAAGATGGATCGTAAGGTGGGTTTTCTCAGAGAAGATGAAAATCTTATTAAGCAAGTGAAGGACCAAAGACTAATTCATATTAAGAGAATTTATGGGGTTCTAGTGGAATTGGATTCAGAAACAGAATTAATTAAAGATTGTATGATCAGATGGGCGCAAAATTTTGGTGAACCAGTCCTACTGGATACCTGGGAAACCATTTGGGTGAGAAATGTTAAATTTACACAAGCACAGAATTTAAGGGAGAATTTTTATAAAATGTTTTATAGATGGCACCTTGACCCACAAAAAATGTCTTTTATGTACCCTGACCTACAGCCTAAATGTTGGATATGTAGTTGTTTGGATGCCACCTACTATCACATCTGGTGGTCGTGTAGAAATATAAAAGCCTTTTGGATTAAGATATGGTGGAATATTCAGAGAATTAGAAGGAGGGTAAAATTTACTCCACAATTATTTTTGTTAGGTATAGTTACTGATTGTGACACAAAGGAGGTTATATTGATGTTAAACTTGATTACAGCCGCAAGGCTGTTAGTAGGACAATATTGGAAGAAGGAATCTTTGCCTACTCTGCAGGAATGGTTTTTAAAGTGTCTTATTTGGCGGAAATGGCAAAGATTTCGGCTTTTTTAAAAGAACAATCGCAAGAGAAATTTTTTGCTGTTTGGGATAAATGGATAAAGTTTATACAATTTAAATTGGATATAAAAAAATATTATTTAGCTTTTTTATAACTTTTATTTTTATATACATACATATATCTTAGTTATACTCTCTTTTTTCATATAACTTTTTTATTTTATTTTTAATTAAGCCTATATTCTGCTCTGGGAAGCTCCGGGGAGGGGAGGGAGTGGGTGTTTTGGGGGGGGTAGAGAAAGGGTTGTTTTGTTTTGTTTTGTTTCTTGTCTATGTTGTTGTTGTATTGTTATTCTTCTGTTTTTTTGTTAAAATTTATAAAAATTTTCAATTAAAAAAAAAAAAAGCAGATCATGCCAGACAAATCTTATTGCATTCTTTGACCAGGTGACAAAATCAGTGGACCAGAGGAATGCTGTGGATATAATTTACTTGGACTTCAGTAAGGCATTTGATAAAATAGATTACAACTTACTTCTTGATAAGATAGAAAAATGTGGGTTAGATAGCATCACCACCAGATGGATTCGTAGCTGGCTGACCGGCCATACTCAGCATGTGGTCCTCAATGGTCTACATGGAGGGAAGTGTGTAGTGGGGTGCCCCAGGGCTCTTCAATATATTCATCAATGATTTGGATGAGAGGATAGATGGGAAACTCATCAAATTTGTAAACAACACCGGGCTGGCAGGAATAGCCAACACTCCAGAAGATAAGCTTAAGATACAGAAGGATCTTGACAGACTTGAACATTGGGCGCTATTTAACAAAATGAAATTCAATGGTAAAAAAGTAAGGTTCTACATTTAGGCAAGAAAAACCAAATGCACGGGTATAGTATAGGTGGTACATTGTTCAATAGTAGCAACTGTGAGAGGAATCTCGGAATCCTAGTGGACAATCACTTAACTATGAGCCAGCAGTTTGCTGCAGCTGCCAAAAAAACCAATACAGTGCTAAGCTGCATTAACAGAGAGATAGAATCAAGATCATGTGAAGTGTTAATGCCATTTTAGAATGCCTCGGTAAGGCCACACTTGGAATACTGCATCCAGTTTTGGTCAACACGATGTAAAAAAGATGTTGAGACTCTAGAAAGAATACAAAGAGCAACAAAGATGATTAGGGGTCTGGAGGCTAAAACATAAGGAACGGTTGCTGGAATTGGGTATGTCTAGTTTAATGAAGAGAAGGAGAGGGATAACATGATAGCAGTGTTCCAATATCTCAGGGGCTGCCACATAGAAGAGGGAATCAAGCTATTCACCAAAGCACCTCAAGGCAGGATAAGAAGCAACTGATGGAAATTAACCAAAGAGAGAAGCAACCTAGAACTAAGGAGAAATTTCCTGACAGTTCGAACAACCTTCCTCCAGAAGCTGCGAAAGCTCCAACACTGGAAGTTTTTAAGAAGAGAATGGACAGCCATTTGTCTGAAATGGTATAGGGTTTCCTGCCTGAGCAGGGGTTGGACTAGATAACCTCCAAGGTCCCTTCCAAATTATTATTATTATTGTTGTTGTTGTTAATTGAGAAGTTGTGTCTGACCCATCGCGACCCCATGGACAATGTTCCTCCAGGTCTTCCTGTCCTCTACCATCTTCTGGAGTCCATTTAAGTTCACACCTACTGCTTCAATGACTCCATCCAGCCATCTCATTCTCTGTCGTCCCCTTCTTCTATTGCCCTCAATCTTTCCCAGCATTAGGCCCTTCTCCAGTGAGTCCTTCCTTCTCATTAGGTGGCCAAAGTATTTGAGTTTCAACTTCAGGATCTTTATTATTATTATTATATCGATCATCGCACAGTCAGCCAGATGTTCAGACTGGATTTGGCATT